AAGAAATGTCTTACATTTGCACCAAAAACTTTTAGCAATTGTTTTTTGGGATGCAGTGAAGGCAGCCCAGCCTTCCTTCAAATTCACAATACTTCTGTTTCAGCATCTGGGATGCTGGGATTACCTGACCACTGTACCTAGCTTAGCCGGTATTCTCTCATAAAGGAAAGAAGTCGCATTCCCTTCAAGATTCGGGATGAGACAAACTGTGCTCCTACGACTTCCGTCTGCACTAAAGCTCCCGGCGACCGTGGTGAGCTAAGTGGGAAAGGGTAGATTTGTTTGTTTGTTTGTTGGGTTGTTGTTTCTCTTCCTGAGGTAGCCCTGGCTGTCCCGGAACTCACTCTGTAGACCAGGCTGACCTCGAACACACAGAGGTCCACGTGCCTCTGCTTCTTGAGTACTATCTGGGGTTAAGGTATGAGCCACCACTGCCCATCAAAAAGGGTAGGTTTAATTATTTAAATTAAAAGTCAACACTTCTAGTCCCTGTAGAACTATGACCACCTACATGCAAAATGCAACGGAACAAAGTATCTATTGCCACAGTACAACTCACCAAGGCATGACGATCCGTGTTTGTAACCTTGACACTCAGGAGGTCTGAGGCAGGAAGATTGCTGTGAGTGTGAGGCTAAGCTGTAACCTCATGAGTTCCAGGACAGCCTGAGATGCATAGCAATACCCTGTCCCAACCCAACCCAAGTCCCAATATTTTTAAAATCAATTTCAGCAAGGCTATCACAAATAAGATCAATTTTCAAAAATGGCTAACATTTGTCGGTAATAGCAGTTCTTAACCTGGAGTGATATGTTTGACTAAGTTAATAAAAATTAAAAAAATAAAAATAAAAACGATAGCTGGGGAGGGGCTGAAGAGAGGACTCTGGTTAAGAACACCTGCTCTTGCAGAAGACCTGAGTTCAGTTTCCAGCACCCACATAGGGCAGCTCATGACCACTTCTAACTCTAGCTCCAGGGGATTGGATGCCCTCTTCTGATCTCCAAGGGCCCTGCACACGCGTGGCGCACACACACACATCCAAATTCCCACTGCGCCATTAGTAGGTTAACACTGATGCGACCTCTAGATGTCATAGCAGGTGAGAGCGGGTTTGCTGCTGGGCGACAGCGGGCAGGAAAGCCTCTGTCAGCACGAGTCCAGTGTGCTGTGCACACGTGCCCCGATGGCCACAGTGCACCCTTGATCGGGTGCCCAGCGAAATGACCACCAGGACAGCTGAGGGAGTCCCAGTTAGGGCAAAGGTGCTGGCGGTGCTCCACATTCCTCGTGCTTGCACTCACCCAGCTCCACGTCACAGCTCCGGAGTGGGGTGTGGCAGACATGCCATCCTGATGGACAGGCAGGTGTGTTCCTGTGACCCTTTTCCTTTGTCAAAAGGAATCTTAGGGAGTTCTTTGGCCTGCATGTTCATCAGAAGAACGGCTTTTCAAGGACTTCACCATGGTTCCAAGGGTTCCTGACTGGGACAGGCCGCCAAAAATGAAGCCGAGAAATCACCCTTTCAAAGAACATAGTCCAGGTGGCCCAACAGTAGCTGTCACACAGCTGAAAGGCCAATACTCGAACAACTGTTCAGACCCCAGAGCAGATGCCTCAGCAGTCAGGGTCTGGTGCTGGAGACCTGGGGGAGTCCGGAGAGCTACTGATCTTCAGTATATGGCAACCTTGAAGAACCTGGGTTAGTACTGGCTGCAGCAACATTGTAGATGCACGCCTCAGTGAAACGGGGCAAGCAGGCCAAAGGAAAGCTTCCTTCTGCAGAGTCCTTTTATGTGGGTTTCACCAGCAGGTGGGGCTTCCTGCTTCTACTGATCTGATGAGGAAAATCCTTCACAGGAGTGCTTGGATTCTTGGGGTCTAGTTGATTCCAGATGTGGCAGACATCTGGAATGTAGTTGACACCCAGGATTAACCATTACAAGAGGCCTAAAGCTATGGTGTCTGTGTAGCTAGAACTGAGAGTCTTCATGTTTACCCATGAGAAAACAGATGGGGTACAGGACATACACATGAAACATTTGTAGCTACCAGAAGTATTGAGATAGATGTAAACACAACAATGTCTATTGTTGCAGGATATTTGATTACATTGTGAAATTACATTGTGAACCCCAAGATTGTGAACTGGAGAAAAACTGTTTATTATTGTGGAATGGCTCGGTCTTTGATCCTAGAATTTTCTGTTTACTGTAAACAAGTACTTGTGGTGTGGCTCAGCCCTAGCACACACTTTTAATCCAAGAGCTTTCTGCAAACAGGAATAAATAAAATTAACTCTAGGTCAAGCAACCAGATTGACAGGAAGTGAACATGAGGGGAAAACATTGTGAGAGGAAGTCCAGAGGATGACTAGAGAGACAGAAGGTAGAGAGGGTCGTTGGGTTGAAGCGTATTTAAGATGGTGTGGAGGAGAAAGAGCTCTTTCCTTCTGGGACCTGAGCTGAGCTGGAAGGTCAGTTGGGTGCTTTCTCTGCCTCTCTGAGCTAGCAGGTTTTCACCTCAGCATCTGGCTCCTAAGTTTTCATTGGTAAAATCGAATGATTGGGATTTTGTTTTTAAAACAATAGTCTATGGGCCTTTAAATGTGCTAGACTGGCAGGATTGCTGGTGGGGAGACGTACCTGCCTATGAATCTAATGACTTGATCCCAGGACCCGCAGGGTGGAAAAAGGAAGCTGGTTTCTAGGTTTCCCTCGGACCTCCCCATGTATGTACACACGCACACTCATATAGTTAAAAAAAAAAAAAAAAAGCCTGCTTGGGGGGTAGACAAACAAGGGGCCAAGAACCTACGGTTCAGTGGTAGAGCACACACCTGGCATTTTCAGGACCCCGTATTTCATCCATATTGTTAGAAAAAGAAATAAAGAAAACCAGAGACTGCACGAAACAATGTATGCTTCATCCAGACACAGACAAAAATAAGGTGGCATCAAGCAGGGAGCTAACGCTGCCAACTGGGACGGAAGAACAAGAAAAAAGGCTCAAAGGTAAATTAAGAAAACGAAAAGCAAAAATGGTTTGCTCGAAGACTAGAAAATGCTCTGAACAGGCAGGAGGGGTGCCTGTATTTCAGGCTTCTGCACCTGGGACCCAGCTAAATAAAACAATACAACAAAGAGAGAAAGAAAGGGGCTGGCCGGGATTTGGCCGGGAAAGCTACTTCCCAGCTGTGAAACTCATTTTCCCTTGGTCGGGGCGGAGGGCGTGGGAATCGGCAGGAAGGCAGCCTGGGGACGGGTGCTAGTGTGCACTGAAGGCTCGTCAAATGGAAATCTACCCTAAGTCACACTAGAGTCCCTGGTCACCCAGTGTCAGGGTCTGTGGGGAGCTGTCTGTGCCACTCTGGGACCCCGTCCCTATCCACGGGAAGTAACCAACACAGCTCTTCCCTCACACTGCTGGAGAGGCCAGCGGCCTGGGGAAAGAGGTGCCCGCAGAACGGGCACTGAGCAGAACGGCTGAGGCTGCACACAGGACCAAGCCAGCTGCAAAGCTCAGAGGCCCAGATTGGGGAATTTGAGGGAATCTGCTATGAGGCAAAAAAGCCAAACAGGCTCATGAGCTGGGGGGATGGGGGAGGCGCCTGGCATTCCAGCACCAGAGAAGTAAAGGCAGGAGAGTCAGTTCAAGGTCATCCTCCTATATTTGGGACGTGCTTCAGAAAACAAGGCTGGAAAAGCAAACAGAATCCATGCATGCACCAACTAACCCAGCCTCATCTCAGATTGTGGACTCAGATTCAGTGTAGGATGAAATTGCCCATCCTCAGGGGCTTAGAGGATAAGAGCACTGGGTGCTCTTCCAAAGGTCCTGAGTTTACTTCCCAGCAACCACATGGTGGCCCACAACCATCTGATCTGGTGCATTCTTCTGGCTCGCAGGCTTACATGCAGGCAGAACACTGTGTACATAATAAAATTTAAAAAAATGCCCATCCTGTGTGTGCATGCGTGTGTCTGCGTGTGCGCTCGAGTGTGTGTGTACTCCTGTGTGTACAGATCAGAGGACAACTTGTGTGCTCTCAGGGGACAGGAAGTCGAAGAACGCTCCTAGCTGTCTGTCATCTTCAGCTCTCCACCTTGTTTTCTGAGACGAGGTCTCTCACTGGCCTGGAGCTTGCTGAGTAAGCCAGGCTGGCTGACCAGTGACCTCCAGGGACCCTGTGTCAGCCTCCCTAGCCCTGGGATTACAATATCACACCATCTGGATCTAGTCTCCCATTGTTCTGCTCTAATCAAACCCGCAGAGGCTCACACCTGTACGCCAAGTTCTTGGGAGGATAAGCAGGACGGCCACGGTTTGTGGCCAGTCTGGTCTACACAGCAAGATGCGGCTCATCCTGGGAGTACGGTGAGAGCCGTCTCAAAAAGAGAGGAAGTCTAAAAGTTCACCCTCTCGGGAATGCTGACTGCAAGAGAGTCCACAGCCTGCTGGGCTACAGGGGATCCAAGGTACACCCTGCAACTCAGTGAGAGCCTGGTCTCGAAAGTGCAAGACCAGGGCGAGGTGTGTACAAGCCTGTAATCCCAGCACCTGGCAGGCTGACGCTGGACAGAGTCCAAGGCCGGGCCCAGGCTACAAGAGACCCTATCTCAGAGGGTTTGGGAGACAGTGGTGGGGTTTTGCCTGGGTAGCCCCGGGTCCAGTCCTCAGACCTGCCCCATAACCTCAGGGACCGGAACACTGCGTCCCAGTGAGTGGGTGCTGTTTGGAGGGGCTTAGGAGGCGTGGCTTCCCTGGAGGAAGTGTGTCACTGGGGGCAGGCTGAGCGTTTAAGGACGCACACCATTCCGTCTTTACTCTGACCACCCACAGGCTTCAGTATTCCAGAACCCATCCCCACTGATAACAAATGTACGGACTCCATCAGTGACTGATCGGACTGGCCAGAGTGTTAGCTTGTCCCAAAGATGACCAACCACACTCTTAAAAATGCCATTTCAAACATCCAATCACACACTGAGTATTTTGAAAAAATGTTAAAATTTATTAATAATAGTTAACATCACATGGTTAATTTGACTAGTTCTCTACCGTACATGGTGACAACACATTAACTAGACTGAGTGCCCAGGGATTTGAGATGAGCCAAAGGTTCATTATATCACACAAAGCAGCATTAGCAGACGGCTGTCGACCTGGTGCTGGGAGCAGTCAGCCTAAGTTACGAACACAGCACACTGCCTCATGCTCTGGATGGAAAGCCAGCACTTCCTTAAAGGCTAGTCACACACACACATCTCCATTAAAAAAGGTGTCCTTTCGTAGATGGTGTCTGATTTTTAAAGTTTAAACTTTAAGATTCAAAACCTTAGTCAAAATCCAGCTGCACTCGTGGCTTTCCTCTAGCGGTTCACACACCTGTATGTGGCTTTGGCTGTCAATGGTGTGAATCAGTAACTGCAGGCTACACCAGATAGGCAGTGCCCGCCGGGGACAAATCAAGGTCTGACATTTGCTCCGGGCATCCTAGGAGGACCTGGCAGTTTTCCTTTCTTTGTACTCCACCTTGTTCAGGTGTAACCAGGCCCCTGCACAGCGCAAGTTTGGAAAGTGGTGCATAACTTGGACGTACCGGGGAGTTTTCTCTTGCTCTTCCTGTTTTGACCCTGCACCCTATTTCGAAGTGTTACAAGGCCATTCCCTCCCTATTATGTCACGTGCAGGTGGATTGTTGGTCACTTTAATAGACGTGAACTTTTAAGGGAGACGTGAACTTTTGGATTCAGAGTGAACCACGCTACAGCAGAGGACAGACATTCATGTCCGCCTGTTTCTCCAACAGTCTGAAATAAATAGCATGTATTAAAAAAAAAAAGTGAGTCAGCAGCTCGACACAGCTCAGTCCAGAGAAGCAGACAGACACACATCGCTTCTTGTAAAACACAAGACAAACCCGGGGTGGAATCTGCTAAGAGGGCAAAGGTACAAACACCCCACAACGTCCCTGAGGTTTGGCTGGGTTCTTTCATTGCTTCATTTGGTTTGTTTCGACAATCAGATACATCTTTAAAAACATTTTTTTGGTGGCTTCCTTTAACTTGTCAAACTGTTTCACTGACTGACCTATAAATCAAGTCTTCTAAGCAGTGAGTGCTGGAAACAAGTCCTTTGGTTTTCTTTGGCTAATATCCCAGGTGACAGCACTCAGGAAAGCGTCTGGCCAGAGCGATGGTCTGCTGCGGTTTCTTCCCTCCAATGGACCAGCCTCAGTCTCCAGCCCTGCCTTGCATACATTTCTCAGACTGCAGACGAAGGAGAAGCTGGGAGCTGGCCCTCTGCCATTCATGCACACAGTTCACCTCTTCTCACAGGTGAATGAGGTATTTCCAGGAGCCAGTCAGTATCTCCACCTCACATCCTGAACTACACTGATCTACTGAGAAGGCCAAGTCAGAGACCTTGGCCAGCTATATACAGAACAAAGGAACATATAAATACATTACTTACAAAATTAACCATTAAAGGATGAAGGAGAGGACCTGCTTCACAAACTAAATAAATTTCAAACATAAATTAAAAAACAAAAAACAGTGTCTCTACTTCTGAAGGAGAAAAGAAAAAAAAAATTGAAAGCTACCAAAAGCCACCGCTACCCCCAAGGTCTGTTGCTCATGATGACACGTTCAGACACGTGAGGTAAAGCCACAAACACTTGGAGGATGTGTCAACTCTTGGCTTTGGTTTGGATTCCAGGACAGCAAGTGTTAGAACCGGAAGGTTGTTCTTGAACTTATGGTTGAGTTGATGAGGGGCTAGCCATGTGACCGTGCAGGGGAGGTATCTCTACCTCCACTCCTTCTCCCTCCCAGTGTCTGCCTCCATGAGAAGCACCAACATTTCAAGATGTTCTCGACCTACGAATGTCACATTCAGCTCCAAGATGAGGCAACCATTTTTCAAGACTGTCCCCATCCCATAGGCTTATATAGCAAGGAGAATGGGGGAGGGGCGATCCCCAGAGGCAACCAGCAGGAGCAGCTAGGAGCAACTCCTTACTTCTGATTTGCAGGAAGGCCAAGGATTGGGCGCCAAACTCTACAGTGACTATACAGAGACAAAAATCCCAGTCCCACAGGGTCCTCTCTGCCAAGGAGTCCGTCTCCTTATAATTTAAAACAGGCAAGTGGGGAAGCAGAGAAGTCCCATCTGGTCCCCAAGGTTCTATCTCTGCCCAGCCTCCCGGATGCGGCAGGCCACAGCAGTGATGAGAGCTGCCCCCTTCCCGCTGCCATCCTCTGATTCTAGGAAGGACACGTCACATTTTGGAGCCAGATCTTTCACCGTCTCATGCATGACTTTGGCAAAGCTGGAAAGAGAGGGAAAAGGGTGTGACTGCTCTGTGCCCTCAAGTGAAGCTGGAAACAGGAATGGAGATGAGAAGCACGGCACCTGCACACTGGGTACTGGGTGGGTACCAGAAAACCGAAGCTTGGAGGGGCTAGGACCACATCCAAGTCTTACACCACAGTAGCCATTCACAAGCTCAAATGTCTGAGATGCTAGAGAGCAAATCAGTTGGTCCAGGGATGTGGCTTAGTTGATAGCACTCATCTGGCAACATAAATGACTCCCTTGCATTGCCAGCATCAGCTGAGCACGGAGCTATAATCCCAGCAAACAGGAAGCAGAGGCCAGAAAACCAAAAGCTCAGGGTTATCCTGGGGCTACATAGCAAGTTGGAGGCCAGTGTGGGATATGAGAGACACTGGCTTAAAACAAACAAACAAAAACACAGGGGATTCAGCTCTGTGGCACACGCCTGTAATCTCCCCACTCAGGGGCACAGAAGCAGGCGGAACTCTGTGAGTTCAAGGCCAGCCTGGTCTACAAAGCAAGTCCAGGACAGCCAACCATACACAGAGAAACCCTGTCTCAAAAAATTGAAAAACAAAACAAGAAAACATGGGGTGAGCTAGCTGGCTCAGCACCGAGGAGTCCACACAGCCCTTGCAGTCGCCAGAGTCCCCGTGGGCTCTCAATGGCTGTAACCCCAGCTCCAGGGGATCCAATGGCATCTTCTGGCCTCTGTAGGCACTGCCTATGCACACAACTTTTCCAGACCTCCCACCTTTACCCCATAGACAAACAGTTAAAATAACTTTTAACCGTAAATTATGTGCTAAAGAGATGGCTCTGTGGTTAAGACCATCTATTGTTTTTTCAGGAGCCAAATCTGATTGCTAGCACTAGGTCAGGCTACTCACAGCTGCCTGTTCAGTTCCAGTTCCTGGCAACACGGACACTCAAATACATGAGTCAGTGGCGTGGGCTGTGTGGCCTCTCACAACTACTCTGCCCTCTGAGCAGGAACACAGCCTCTGTCAGTTCATAAACACGGGCATGGCTGTGCTTCTACAAACCTTTACTAACCCAAGCACCCTGGCTGTGGTGTGGTAATCCCTGGATTTAAAAAAAAAAAAAAAAATCTTGCTTGAATTATAGAGTAAGTCTACCAGAATATTCACAGCAGCACCTTTCACCTTTGACCTGTTACAGTCAAAATCTCAAAATGATTAGACATCGTGCCAACACTGAAACAGCAGTGATACTATCACTGGAAAATACAGTCTCCTCCGTGGCCAGGTGTGGAAGTACTCCTGTCATCCCACCTCAGGAGGCTGGAAGACAGGACGGAGTTGGAGGCCAGCCTCAGCTACATAATGAGTTCAAGGCCATCCTGGCTCCCTGTCTCAAAACCAAAAAAAGTTGCTATCCAGTCTTAGAGAGCAAACTACAAATGCACAAAAGCTCCAAAGGCAGCAACAGGGTCATTAATCTTCAAACTAAGCAGATTGCAGTGGCTGAGAGAAGGGCCAGAAAGGACATACACAGGGAAGACAGGACGGCTCCCCAGGTGGGTACTCACTGAGGGTGGAGCTTATAGAGCGTCCCGTCCACACCCACGGTCACCCTGAGGCTGTCCAGCCCGCGGTTCTCTCGTATCTTGTCCACCACAGCAGCCATGCCCGCGCCACAGAGCTGAGCTGCGCGCCGGGCCACCACAGTGCACACCTCCTTCACGATGATGCTGTCGTCGCACGTGCTCTCCAGCCCCAGGTGGCGCAGGATGGCACGGACCTGCAGCAGGGCCAGGCAGTCGCTGCACGGAGGAAGACACGGGGGGGGGGGGGGTTAGCAGCCCGCCTCCCTACGCTGGCCCTGGCTCCATCCAGGCGGCGCTGAGTGGGACCCATTCACTTGCTCTGCCCGAAAGTGACAGAGCCACAAGCAAATGGCCCTTCATTATACTTTACATCCAAGGTGAGCACTGTTACTACAAAATTGATGTTCACAGATGGGGAGTCATGCCTGCACTCTCAACCGTCAGGAGGACTGCAGTTCACGGACAACCTTAGCTACACAGTGAGAACCGTCAAGACAAGCAAAATAAAAACTATACTGAAAACAAACCAAAAATGCACATCCCAGAAGGAGACGTGCCCGGATATTTGGTCCAAAATGGAGCAATACTGCCAGGAGCGGTGGTGCACACCTGGAATCCCAGCACGCGGGAGGCAGAGGCAGCGGATCTCTGTGAGTTCGAGGCCAGCCTGGTCTACAAAGAGTCCAGGACAGCCAAGGTGTTCTTTTGAAATGTATATACTTTACCCTTGTTCATTCAAATGCTGATTTCTCCCCCCACTCTCTGGTTTCAATCTGGACATTGCATTGTGATACTTATTCTAAGTATCACCTGTCTCAACTTTGTGTAAACATCCAAAATAAAACAACCAGCCACAATGTTGAGCAATAGAGGGGAGGAGCCAGAGGACAGGAAAAGAGTGGGAGGGAAAAGGGTGATGAGAACTGGGAGAACAGAGTCAGGAGAGAGATCTTGGAACGATGTAGAGAGATGGACTGGACCTAAGATTTCACTAAAAGCAAGTATAATGTGGGAAATATAAATGTTAGGAAACTATGAGGGCTTGGAGGTTTACGATAGAGTAACTATTGCCCAGCATTGTGTTCTGGATTAATTAAGTAAATCATAGTCTCTGTGTGATTTGGTTATACAGCTGTTTAGGATTAACAGCAGCGTTACCAGAAGATATATCAATAGTAAATATTAATCGCTACGTACAACACCAAGGCTACACAGAAAACCCTGTCTGCAGTGGGAACCTCACTAATACCATGTGCATAGCCTCTTCCACGTTCAACATGGTTCTTTCAGAGTGTCAGTTAGGAACAGGTAATTCACTGGAAGCAGACCTCTGTTAGCTACATCCTGGCCTCTCGTGAGCTGTGGAAAACCTTTAGCTTGTCTCTCCATGAGAAAAGTGAGAACACAGTCCCACCTTCCTCCCAAGCCTTCTGCTGTAGGCATAAGGTTATTATCTAATTCAAATGCTGATTTCTGTACCCCCATATCTGGTTGCAATCCTTGTTCTGAGAATCTCCTGTCTCAATGTTATGTAAACGCTGTTCCCCAATGGTCCCCTGATGTACCAATAAAGCAGCTTACAGCCAATCATTGAGCAGGGAGAGGATAGGGCTGGACTTCCTGCCAGCCAGAGGAAGAAGGGTTAGAAGAGGAAATAGGGGATTCAGCCTTGAGCAGAGGTATAACAGAGAGGAGCTAGAACAGAGAATGCCGTAAAATGCAAGTGTCTCTGGGATGTACACTGAAAGGAAGCCAGACTAGCATAAAGGGTTTAGAATAAAAGCAGTAATTGCACAGGACTGTGCAATGAAGCTTCATAAACAAATAATAGTCTTAATTATTTGGGTGATAGCCAGGTTGAGAGAGAAACGAACACAATTTTATAAAAATAACCTCAACATTCGATCCTTACCTTTCAATCTGAGACAGGAATTTAGTTTCAAAGATTCCCCTTGTCTTGAGGCGCTCCGAGATGCGGCCACGGAAGAGCAGTCCTCGCTTAGTGAAGTCGATGAGAATGTTGCGCACGATCTCGCCCAAGTACATGCCACTGATCATCTTCTCGAACCTGCAACAGGAGTGTCCACAGAGGTGAGAAGGCGGCTAACGTATCCAGGCAGGAGAGGACGCAGAAAGCGGGAAACTCCTCTTGGGGGGAAAGAAACACTTCCTGAGCTCTGTGGGCAACATCCAAGAACCTTCTCAATCATTCAGCAAAACTGATGTCTGAGGCCCACAACAACAACAAACCCACACAAACTCAAAACCAATCCCATGAGCAGGGGAGAACAGCTAAATCTTCATCCTTAGTCCCACTGGGCAGCTTACGTGCTTTCTCTCGGACCTCAAGTAACTGGTGTCAACAGCAGACCCCCACACCCCCACGCTCACTGCTGTAACCAACCATGGCTGTGGCATGGCTCGAGGGTCTTTGGAATATGCACAATGCCTGTTTATAAAGCCAAGGGCCCAAGGTTCATTGAAGACACTGTCATTGTCCTACCTCATTTTGTAGCCTGCTTCCTTTATTAAAGCTACCCGTCTCGCTTGCAGAGATATTTCAGTCTGGGACCTCTAATTTTAGACTACTTATTTTGCAAAGTGTGTTCTAAAGGACCACCAGATCTTTGACTAATTCAGTCTGGTAACCCTGTACACAACACTTTCCGTACCGGAAGAGTGACAGATGTTAGGCCTCAGCTCAACTCTAAGCCCCTACATACACGAGGCTCCGTAACACTGGGGACGCTTGTCCGTTCTGGCAATAGAGGTGCTAGATGCTGGATAACCAGAAAGGCTTCCCTCCTGTGAGTCAGACCTAGCTTCTAATGCATTCTCCAAGACCTTGTGGTACATTTGAGAAGAACCTCTTTGAAGGAGAAAGGCATTCTGGGGAATGTCACGGCGGAGAGTCCAGTCAATCACGGCCCCATTCTGGGGTGTAAGCCTACACAGGTGGGCACTTACCTCTGTTTGCCAGGGTTGAGAGAGAGCTCGTCCACAGCGACATCGAACTCTGTGCGCAGGTCATCTAGGCAGCCGTTGTCCCCAAAGGCTCCCCACTCCATGTTGACGCACATCCGTCCCTCCTCTCCGTCCACCAGCTCCACGTTGCGCATCTCCTCCATGTAGCAGGCATTGCTTCCAGTGCCTGTCAGTCAGAGGGCACCAATGTCACACAGCACCAGCTTCCCGCCCACCGGAAGCCACGCCTCCCCCATTTGGGAAGGACAAATGGTGTCCTTACCAACGATGAGGCCGACTTCACAGTGAGGGTCTTCATAGCCACACGTCATCATCGTCCCCACTGTGTCATTCACCACGGCAACCACATCCAGGTCAAACTCCTGGTGGCAGAAGCAGATGTCTAGTCCACAAATCCCAGTATCCTCTGTTTAGACACTCAAGACACAACCCCCCCCCCCCCAATATGGTGTATGCTATGGCCATTCCTCACTCCTGTCTCTGCTCAGGCTGAGACCTCCACCTCTGCTGGCTAGGACTTTAAGATCACCACTCCTGAGCAGGGAGCACAGATCCCTCTCAGAGCGGTGTTTGCTTTGCTTGCAAACACGACAACCCAGGTTGCTCTTCAGAACCCATGGAAAAGACACATGATGGTCATGGTTGTGACCTCTGCACGGGGAGCCTGAGAACTCAGATTCCTAGGGCTTGCTGGCCTAACTGCTCTGTCCCAGGCCAGGGAGAGCATCTGTCTCAAAACCAAGATAAGCCAGACATGGTGGTATATTCCTTTGATCCCAGCCCTCCAGAGGCGGAAGCTGAACTGGTTAATAAAGGGAGACACTGCCTCAAAAATAAACAACTCACAAATGAGCAGTGCCTAAAGCATACCATGTAAGGGCACCCTCTGACCTTCACACACACAGACCGCTCACTCCTCTCTGCTTTCCCTGTTCAACTTCGCCTCCCCTCAAAGCCCTTACAGCAGCACCTGCCACCGGATCCTGGGCTTCTAGCAAGTTAATCAACCATTGCTGAGTGATGACGTTAATCTCCCTCCCAGAAAGCAGTAACATGTGGTATTGCCCCAACTCCAAATACACAGCTGTGCGCTGTCTCCCACCTCTCGCCGGTGAATAGCTTCCTTCAGCAAGGTGACCACATCCTCGCCCTCACAGCCAGAAGCCTTGAAGCCTTTTGTCCACTTGAGGAGGATGCTCTGGAAAATGAATGAATGAATGAATACCACACAGACACACAAAGGTGGGGCATCAGAGAGGGGAATCCTGGGTCATCCCTGGAGTGAGTCCCCCAACCCTGTTCTGCTTCTAGCTCTCAGTCTTGCAGAGCAGACTACCCACAAATGATCCCGAGCCTACATCTACGGCACCAACTCGGCTGCGTCATTTAATCCTCAGCACCGCTTGTAGAATTCGTCCAAGACCTAGAGTCCCACCCTGGCCCACTGATCCATGGCTTAAGCACTGTGCAAATGCGCCAACACTTATTTCTTTCAGTGGACAAGGCCTAGAGGGACCAGTGTGCATGTCCTAATTCCAGACTTCAATGAACAGTGGACTGGAGAACCTAGGGAGAAAGGCCAAGGTCCTCAGATCCTTCTTTAGATGGGGGGGGGGGGGGGGGGGGGAGAGGGGAGAGGCTTCTGCTGTTCATATCTGTGTGCACAAGGCTGTGCACACAACCTGTGTATGGAGGTCATCAGATGTCAGATGCCTTTCCCATTTGCTGTCCACCTTATTTTTTGAGGGAATCTGTCATTACACCTAGAACTCAGTAACTGACTAGACTGGCTGGCCAGGGAGCACCCAGGATCTGCCTGGCCCTGCTTCCCCAGGGCTGGGGTTACCACCTGGACAGACGCCCACTTGCTTTGCACATAGGAGAAGCAGGTTTGTTCCCTCTTGCTCTTGATACCGGCAGCCAGCAGAAACCAGCATCCTCAGATCCCTTCCCCAAAAGGCTGGGACCACGGCCACCCACAGGCAGTGTGGCCAAGCCTTGCTCATGGTCTGTGCCCATCACTTGGGTATTCCATAAACTTGAATGTGTCACACAGTGGCCACGCAGTGATCCCATGAGACTCAGCACAAAACACGGCCCCACAGCCCTACAGAGCCAGGGCTAAAACACCCACACGGCAGACAAAGGCATACTTGTCTCCTCTGCCCATCTCTCATCTCCTGGCGAGCTTTGCGCCTCTGGCAAAAGTGTTCATAACCTCATTTCAGATGATCAGTATAACAAGGCAACACCAGGCTTCAACAGCCAGGGACTTGCCCAAAGTGGTGAGTAAATGTGGCCAGAGACCTCAGGGCCTCCAGGTCCCCTTAACACCCGCTGAAGCCTCATCAAAAGGTGACCTCACCAGAGCCAGCAGCCGCAGCTGGCTCCTGCTTTGCTTTTTTTTTTTCTTTTCTTTTCCTTTCACAATTCTAGACTTAACATGGGAGCCTTACAGAACAGGGAAAAAATACAGCAGTTATCTTAGATTTTACAGTCCTGACCCACACAGTTAATACAAACACAGTGGACCCAAAACTGTTGCAACCAAGGGGACATCCATAATCTGCTGTGACTAATTTCTTACAAGGTCCCCACTCAGGGTCACTCAGACCCTCTTTCCCTCCTCCTGTAAACTGGAGTGAGCTTAGAGTTGAGGAAGCCCACAGGGGAAGGCGGCTACCTGGTCCAGGCTGTTCTGCTGGCAGGGGAAGGAGAAGGTGAAACCCAGCGGCAGGGACACGCCCTTCATGCCCATGTACTCAAGGAAGTCTGCGATGCACTGCACAATGTGATCAAAGAGCTGCAAGAAAAAAGGGCGCTGAGAGAAGGGCCCTGGCTCGTGGGGGTGCCCCCAGCATCCTCCCAGGAGAAACGCAAACCCAGGCCTCCCCAGCCTGAGGAGCAGCTCTGCTAGGGCACTGAACAACCGAGCCCTCCCCGAGCCAGGCCTCCCCTCCTCCGTGGTGTCTCACCACCACTCTCTCTCTCCTGCCCCGCGCCTCACCTCTTCCCCAGTGCCGTGCATGACCTCCTGAGGGATGGAGTAGATTTTGTTATGCATTTCCACGCCCCTCCGTTTGCCATTTCGCACGCGCACCAGCAGGACCCGGAAATTTGTTCCTCCGAGATCCAAGGCCAAGAAGTCTCCTTTCTCTGGAAAATAAACCCAGGATGACGATGAGTTGGGGTGACAGAGAACACACTTCTGTTCGTTGAGGCTGTGGAGGACATCCTGGGAAAGTCCCGGGGAAAGATGGCGCGCGAGCGCCACCTAGCAGTCAAGAAAGTAAGCGCTCCAGGGCTACATCCGAATGGGCCCACCTGGTGGGACCCCGAAGTCAGAACACAGGGAATGCCAATTCGGGATACTTAAAGCTACCGAAATGTAACATCTGAGCCAAACAAATGCCTCGGAGGGTACAACCTCAGAACCTGGGGTGTGGAGACAGGAGGATCGGAGTTCAAGGCCAGCCTCAGCTACCTGGGTCAGCTAAGATGCCAAGGCCACCCGACACAGTCCACTCTCCTTTAAAAAGGTGCTCTTGGAGATGTGCTTAAATGGGGCAAGGCCATTTTACTAGCAGGTGACCAGGGACCAAACCCTAGTTTCTGCCTCTGGAGCCTGTACCAACCATGACAGACCATCATGGACCAGAATATTTTTTTGTATGGGGGCCAAACAGGAAATATATGTAGACCCAAACTAACATAGTAGTTGAGAATTGGCTTGGAATGCAGATTCCTAGGTATGACAGCTGGCACTGGTTGTGTGAACTCGGGCAGTGTTCTCTCTGCTTCAGTTTTCTGCCAAACAGCAAATTTTTAATAAACAAAAATTGGCCCAAGTGTTTGTATACACCAACAATCAAAATCTTAGGACGATGGTTCAAGATCATCCTGGACTACAAATGGAGTTTGAGGCCAATGTAGACCCATTTCACAAAGCAAAACAAATGGGGCTGAAGAGATGGTTTAGCACTTAAGAGCTGATACTTGTTTGGCAGAGATTCCAAGTTCAAAATCAGGGACTTCACAACTACCTGTAACTTCAGCTCCAGAGGACTGGATGCTCTCTGGTGGACTCAGTCAACTCCTGCACATGGCACGCACGCATGCACGCACGCACACACACACACAATCCATGGCTAATGCCAGCCCCCGAGCTTTGTACCTGAACCATCTGGCGTGGCACACACACACGCGCACACACACACACTCCATGGCTGATGGCGATGTGTACCTGAACCATCTGGCGTGGCACACACGCACACACACATGCACACACACACACACACACACACACTCCATGGCTGATGGCGCTGTGTACCTGAACCATCTGGCGTGGCACACACATAGGTGGGCAGCATCTTCACAGGGGCGACAGCGTGTGTCGCCTTGCTCAGACCTTGCTCCATCTCCACCTTCATCCTCCTCTTGACCTCCAGCAGCTGCTCACGGCTCAGCTTCAGAGGCTCCAGGGTCTTCTGACGGGCTCGGTGCTGGTCAGCCAGGCGGTAAGCCACCGCTGTCACCATAGCCGCCCCCTTGCCGCTGCCGTCCTCGGAGCGCAGGAAGCGGACGTCACAGTCGGGCACCAGCCTCCTCACAGCCTTGTGGAGACGCTTGGCAAAACTGGGGGACAGAGAGCAGAGACAGGAGGCCATGGTTACAGTCAGCGGTTCAGGTGGGTGCAGAGCAGCTTCCAGCTCAGCCCGAGCTGATGCCCCATGCAGCCGCGAATGCTGCTGGACCCCCTCTCTCCAGTGTCCCCATCTCAGGGTTACTGTAAAAGGCCCAGCTATTCAGCCATGGCGGCCCTAGCTCTTCCACAGCCACGGCCCTCTGTATGCACTCACATGACCCCACTCTTTCCCAAGGAGCAGGCCACAGCTCCTCTGGCTGGCACATGGAGCCAGCCTCTGCTAGAGCAGCCAAGTGTTTTGATGTCACCTGCTCCTGGAGGTCCAGCCTCGTTTCCTCTAATGCCCCAGGAAAACACCCAGCAACAACAAAAACCTACAAGTATCTTTCTTCTGAACTTTGGCCTCTCTTTTTCCAATCCCTGCTGATGGTCTCAAAGACATCTGAGCAAGTGGAAACAGTGAGAATATTAGCAAGAAGCTCTTGGGCGGTGGTGGCCCGGGCAGCCACATGGACGCAGCCTCACCGGAGGCTGCTCCCCGTGAGGCAGTGTCACCCCAGAGTCCCACAGCGGCCTCTTAAACACACCCCCACGTTATCGTGTTTCTACGGCCCTGGGCTGGGAAAGCAGGGGATCTCGGGCCCGGAGCCCTTGGCCGCAACCAGTTCAAGGTGCCATCAATTTCTAAGTAAGTGAGCACAAGAGACATCTTCTGGGTAGCATTAGTAAGGGGCATGGAGAGGGGAGGAACCATTCAGCACCAACATCAGCAGAGGCTGGCGTCCTCACGGTCGGAGTGGCCCCTAACAGAGGGCATGGCACCCACATGAACCAGCCAGAATAAGCAAGAACAATGAATGAATCAGTAACTCATAAAAGAGGGAGGTAGCAGGTGCTGATGTTTGGGTTGTGGTAATGTGCTTGCCTACAATGCACAAAGCCCTGGATACCCAAAGGCGCCACACCTATAATCCCAGAACTCAGGAAGCAGAGACAAGATGAGAAATTTAGGCTCATCCATGGACACATATTGAGTCTGAGGCCAGCCTGTCTCAAAACAATAAGGGGGGGAGGAGGAGGAGGCGGAAGCGGCAACAGTAAGCCAAGGACACAGCAACCAGGAACTCTGAACACCGCACAAGTCATCAGCTGCCTTCAGAAATCAACCCCACCCATACCAACAGTGTCCACCCAGGAACACTTATGCTATATGGAAAGCAATACAGAGCTGGCGCCAAAAGCCGCCAGCCCTAGGCTGCTCACTCACTGGGGATGCTTCTTGTAGACCGAGCCATCGACGCCAATGGTGGAGCGAAGTCGCTCCTCGCCCTTGTTCTCCTTGATCCGCCACAGCACAGCGGCCAGGGTGGCCGCACACAGGCTGGCCGAGCGTGTGGACACTATCTGGCAGATTCGGTGTGTGGCCACACAGTCCTCCTGCAGCGGATTCAAACCCAGACGTACCAGGATCTTGTAGGCCTTTTGGAGTCCGTCCTTCTCCCTGGGAAACAGACAGAGTGTGAGCAGTTCTAACTCACTGTGGCCAGCGGGGAAGCCCCTGAGCGCCAGCAAACTCCTTTTGCCAGGGAGCGCAGCGCTGACTCCTTCAGCAGGAGGGAGTATAGCACAACATAGCAATTCCAAGGCTCCTCTCCCAGCCCACCCACGCCCACACCCAGGTTGGTCTGCCTTCTGTAGGTGCCCTTTAATCTCACACACACACACACACACTAGCAGTTCCTCTGTGTGCACTTTATAAAGAAAAGACCGCACCCTTGCTGCTGTGCATGCTGAGTGAGCAGGTCTGGCTTCCTGCTCTCTGTTCTCCTCAACGTAGATGAATGAAAAGGTTGCCAGCCTTTGCGCCCCAAAAGTAGCCAGTCTGCGCCGGAGCCTCGCCTGGGGGAGCCTGTGCCTCTGTAGCACATGCCCTTATCCCCCTTTGAGCTTAAGGAAGAGTAGCAGAAGTACTCCAAGAGGCCTCCTTAGCAAAGTCCTTTCAACTATTTCACTGCCCCTCTTTGGCATGAAAGCTACTTCCTCTCTCCATCGTGTCCCTGAAACTGTAAGAGCCCACAATCAAGTAGCTGTCTCAAGCACAGAACAGTAGCCTTACCAATAGCCTTATATCTTGGGATATTCCTTAATGATAAAAAAAAATAAACAAATAAAAAAACAAACCAGGATGTCCTTGTTCCTATCCTTGCTAAGCTATGATGGTGGGGAAGTGTCTCTGTGGGCACCTGTCCTGGTCAGCCTTCATGGTCAACCGGAACCAGTCCAGAGTCTTCTGAGAGGAGAAGCCTTAATGGAGGAATTGCCTGCCTCAGATTGGCTTGTGGGCATGTCTGCAGGGGGCTGTCCTGATTATTACTCGATGCAGGCCTCAGTCCACTGAGGGCAGTGCCATTCCTAGGCAGACGGAACTGGGCTGAAAAGCAAAGCTCGCTGAGCCAGACAGCAAGCCAGCAAGCAATGCTCCTATAATACTGTGGGTCTCAAGGTCCTGCTTAAGCTCCAGCCCTAACCTCTCTCAGCGATGGACTCTGACCTGGAAGTCAAATCAGCCCTTTCCTCTCCGAGTTACTTTTGATCAGTGTTGTATCACAACTCAAAAGCATCCAAAGACACCCCCCCCCATATAAAACCGGGGTCAGCACAGACTTTTGAGAACGGCCCATGAGAAATTAAATGTTCAAACTCAAGAGAAGGACTAGGAGACAGATGCAGCCAGTAAGGTCCTCTTAGACGCTTCCAGCATTAAACCCAGAGCAGCAACCCAAATCCTTACACTTGGAGACCAACTGTTGGGAGGACCTCGAGTAAGTTTGGTAGTATCAGTCTCAGATTAGCAAAGTAGAGACTGGTAAACGAAGTCAGAGGGTCACCCAAAGACACCTGTGTGAACCCCTATTTCAAACCTCAAAAGCCTGGCTGAGGGGATAGCTCACTGGGAAAAGTGCTTCCTTTGCAAGCATGAGGACCTAAGTTCAAGCCCCACAACTTATGTTAAAAAAAAAAAAAAAGCAGCAGATGTGGTATGTCTCTAGTCCCAGCACTGAGGAAGCATTGACAGGTGGGCTCCTTGGGGCTCACTGGTCAATCAGCAGAGCCTACTTGATAAATTCCAGCAAGAAAGTCTATCTTAATGGTAGGCAGCCTACAGAACATATACCCGAGGCTTATCTATGGCACATAGAGTTCAATGCAAACCCCACCATTGCCCCCCCATTCCTGCCCAAATCATGGACACAAGATGGGCAGGGAGGCAATGGGCCTAGGAGCTTACTCTTCAATGTCCGAGACATCTTTGGTCTCGAAGGAGCCAGTGGTAAGGAGTTCCGGGCTGAGCTTCCCTTGGAACAACAGCTCTTCCTTGGCCATCTTCACCAGGATGAGCCTGACCAGCTCGCCCATGTACATGCCGCTGATCATCTTCTCGAACCTGCAGAGACAGATGGATCAGCGACGGCCCCCATCAACAGATGTACACCAGCTCCGCTCCAGGGAGCACAGACCTTGGTGTACCCCAGAAGCTAAGGATTCGCTCACAGAGCACAGGGGTGCAAGTACAACTCAGAGAGGTAAAAGAGGCAAGACTGGCCGCTCTTAACCCACAAAGGAGTGGGTCAGGTGGCTCTGCAGCACAGTGGAGAGCGCACCGGACTTCAGGGAGTGCGGACTATTCTGGAGCAGACAAGAAACTGGGGTGACTTAACATTTCCTGTTGGAGAGTGAGTCTTTAAAATTTAACTCAGAGCCAGGAACGGTGGTCCATCTATAAGGTCAGCACTTGAGGGATAGAGGCAGGATGCTCAGAAGTTCAAGACCAGACTTTGCTACATGAGACCCTATCTCAAAACAACAAAACAAAGATAAAGTATTTACTGCTGTGGAGAAAAACATCGCTGTTGTTGATGGTGGGGTTTCTGCTGATGATGATCTGTCCTTTTGAGACAGGGCCTCACAGAGTAATGCAGGCTGGCCTTATCCCTCCTAGTCCTAGGACCAAGCAAGAAAATGAAACCTTAAAGCCAGGTGTGGGGGCACATACTGCTTGGCCCCTAACTGCTATGATTTCAAGGCCATCGTCAGGCCACATGGCAAGTATGAGACTGTCTCACGAAAAAGAGTAATAGCAGAAACAAAACTACACACGCACACGAGCACAGCGCACACCCACACAAAGGGTCCCCCTGGAAACAAGGTGACGCTAATTAGACCAAGGTACAGATCCTCCCGCTCATCCAACACTGCCTTCCCTAATCTGTGGATTCTCAAAAAGTGGGTTAATAATAACTTGGGCAGAGGCCGGGCAGTGGTGACGCACTCCTGTAATCCCAGTACTTAGGAGGCAGAGGCAGGCAGATCTCTGTGAGTTTGAGGCCAGCCTGGCCTAAAAAAAATAAGAATGAATGAATGAATGAATGAATGAATGAATGAATGAATGAATGAATGAATGAATGAATGAATGATCGATCTAGGCAGAGGTGGGGAGGCTAGCCTGGTCGATAGATAGATAGATAGATAGATAGATAGATAGATAGATAGATAGATAGATAACCTGGGCAGAGGTTGGGGTAAAGTTCCAAGGCATGGTAAGAGAGAGCTCAAGGATGTGGGGCTGAACAGATTGAGAACTTCTGGGGACTCACAGGCAAAGGAAGAAGTGCCAAAATATATGTGTGTGTGTGTGTGTGTGTGTGTGTGTGTGTGTGTGTGTGAGTGAGGGGAGGAAGGGAGAGGGTCAACTCCAGCAATTTAACTCTCCACCACTAGGTGGCACTAGGCCCACTGACAGAAGAAACCAAGCCTGGAGGATTATCTTTTTGATAAAGGAAGCCCCTTGATGTCTTGGAAAGGAGCTGGGGCTAACAGACTGGAAGCCAATGGGCTGTGTACTAACCAGGATGGGCCGCATCATCCAGGAGGCCCAACAAGGGTGTGGCACAGAACACCTAGCAGGAGCTGAAAGCCAGGCAATCAGATCAGCAAGATGCGACTTGCTCAGACAGAATAAAGCTGAAGGAGAGCTAGGCAGCCTGGCTCCAGGCACCTGCAAGGCCAGCATTTGGGAAGTGGAGGCAGTAGGATCCAATTTCAGGCTAGCCTAGGCTGACACTCAGTGAGACCCAATCTTAAAAAGCAATTAGGGCTAGAGAAATGGTCCTATGGTTAAGCATGGGAACAAACTTCGATTCCCAGCATCCAGGACTGCATGTAATTCTCATTTCAGGGGATCCAGCACCCTCTTCTGGCCTCATCAGCACTAAGCATGCATGCACACAGCAAACTTAAATACATGCAAAAAAAAAAAAAATCATTTATTCACATAAAACAAAAGTAAGTAAGCCAGGTGTGGTGGTTCACCCCTTTAATCCCTTTAAATCTGGGAGGCAAAGTTGAGGCCAGCCTGGTCTACAAAGTGACTTCTAGGACAGTCAGGGCTGTTACACAGAGAAACCCTGTCTTGAAAAACCAAAAGTAAATAAAAATAAAGAAATCTTAAAAAAAAAAAAAAAAAAAAATCAAGGTCGTCCCAGATAGTGAGTCCAAAGGTGGCTTGGGCCGCAGGAGAAGCTGTCTCAAAAACCAGAAGCCCAAAGTTCCTGAGTGGCAGCCTGGCTTCAGCACTGTACATCTCAAATGTCTACATCACGCTGTCAACAAAGCTGGCTCCACGGGAGCCGAGGAGGGCTCCTCCATTGAGTGGCTCTCCACAGCATGACCTGCCCAGCCCTGACTTCAGTCAGGGTCAGCCCTGCACTCGGAAGACTCCCTCCCAATCTCCGCCAGCCATCTGCAGATAAGCAGAATTGTTGGTCATTTTATCTTTGGACACTTCCAAGAACACACGGCCCCTCACGGTGACATGGCTGGGCCCCACTAAGGGAAGCGGGCCCTGAGTGAATGGCTTTTCAGCCAATATCCCTCTCCACCCGCAACAGACACAACCAGATGATCCTAAAAAAGCTCCAGTTCGCAGGCTGCTGGCATCTCAACCCCGAGAAGCCGGTGGCCCAAAGGCTACCCCCTCTACCCCCCTTTGGAGAGCATGGTTTTCTGGGCTGCCTTCCAAAGAGAGACCGGAACTAAGACACTCACAGCACCAAGAGAACCACAGAAACGGTACATTGCTCAAAATGGTTTTGCAACTGCCTTTCAGCCCTTGCCTGAAACAGCCAATCCCGTTTCGAGATCTTCAGAGAGGTTTAGCAAATTCAAGAACCAAATCAGGTTGTGTAAGAGTGAAAAGTGGGGCTGAAGAGATGGCTCAGCAGTTAAGAACACTGGCTGCTCTTGCAGAGGGCCCAGATTCAACTCCCAGCACCCACCTATCTGTAACTACAGTTCAGGGATCCAATGGTTCTTCTGATCTCCAGTCACCAAGCAGAAGCACACATACATGCATGCATACATACATACATACATACATACATGCATGCATACATACATGCAGGCAAAATACACACACATTATTTAAATCCAATTGAAAAAGAAAAGAAATACAAAGTCTTTAAAGAGTCAAAAGCAACAGACCCGGGACTCTGACCAGGCAGTAACCAACTAACTAACTAAAATAAAAATGAAAATTCAACAGGAGGCTGCACACACTTTCAATGGCAGCTCTTAGGAAGCAGGGGCAAGTGAGTTTCTGTGTGTTCGCACCTACTTAGTCAGCTCCAGAACAGCCAAGGACTAAACAGTGAGACTGTTTTCAGACATAACAAAACCCAAATCAAGACCAGCATGCAGCTCAGTTGGTAGTGTTCACCCATCATCAAATAAAAGGAGGTGCTGCTGCCCCGTCCTCCAGACAATGATGGGCTGAAAGCCACACACGGTGTCTTCAAGAACCTCATCTTGGGGGCGGAGAGATGGCTCAGAGGTTAAGAGCACAGCTGTTCTTCCAAATGGTCCTGAGTTCAATTCCCAGCAACCACATGGTGGCTCACAACCATCTAAGATAAGATCTGATGCCCTCTTCTGGGGTGCAGGTGTACATGCGGGCAAAACACTTTATACATTCATTTATTTATTAAGAAAATCTTAAAAAACAAAACAAAAACTCATCTTGCTGGGCGGTGGTAGCACCAAGGAGGCGGAGGCAGGTGGATCGCTGAGTTTGAGGCCAGTCTGGTGTACAGAGCGAGTTCCAGAGAGAAACCCTGACTTGCAGGTGTGTGACACACAATGTCCTCTTATCTTTGAACCTTTTCTTACTTTTATATAAGAACCTCTTATATTGAACCTTTTCTTACTTTCTTTAGAAAACAAGCAAACAGATGGTAGGAACAGCTGACCACACTTGGAATGTGACCTTCCAAAATGACCATTCTGTGCAGGACACCTCTGATGTCAGCTTGGGAGGGGACTACTGTGTGGGACTACTGTGGACCAAGAGTCTGTCTTGGAAAGAGCCCAAGCAAAAAAGCGGCCGTGTTAAAGGGCAATGTGGTTTCACCTGCTGCTTTTCTGCTTCCAGCCCTCCTGGTGATCCACAATCGCTCCCATAACGAGTGTGTGCCCCCCCCCCCCCCCCCCCGGGACAATGTGAAGGACGCATGGAGGCAAGCCCTACTTACAGCTGCTTCCCAGGGTTCAGGGAGCCCATGTCGATCTCCCGGTCGAACTCGGTGCGGATGTCATTGAGCGCACCGTCATCACCAAACGCTCCCCACTCCATGTTGACGCACATCCGCCCCTCGTCGCCCTCCACCATGTCGATGTGCCGCATCTCCTCCATGTAGCAGGCGTTGCTGCCAGTGCCTGGCCAGAGCGAGAAACTGCCCGTTCGGTGCCGCCGTACACTAGCCTTGGTCACCACCTCCCTCCTCGCTGCTGTACAAGAGCCCTCACAGCGGCCTCCCGGGACAGCACACGGGCCGGCCTAGTGCACTGCTCAGCCGCACAGGTCCCAGCTTGGCCCAAAGCAGCTGCACCCGGGGGGCTACATCTTCACAAAGCAGGTGAACGCAAACTCCCAGGCTGATTCCCTGCTCCCTCTCCGCCCCCTTCCCACCTACTCAGCAGCGCGGCTCATACCAGGAGCTCACTCACCCACGATGAGGCCAATCTCACAGTTCTGATCATCATAACCACAGGTCATCATGGTCCCCACTGTGTCATTCACCACAGCCACAATGTCGATGTCAAAGTCCTGCAGAGGACCAGAGGACCTTCATCATCACCAGGGGGAGAAAGGGCACCGCGCAGGCGTGCTACTAACCCACAGCCACAGATGCTTAGACGGAGTGATCAACCCCCGAATCTCTGCCCCAAAGGACACTTTTCCGGACGGCAGCAAAGGCTAAGTCCGCATTGTCGCCTTCTCCCCCACTCACAAACAACTGACCAACCTCGCCCGCCATCTTTCTGCTCCATTCCTCCCTCACATACAAAAAGCACTGGCTAACCCGCGGGCATGCCAAACACTTATCCCTGATTCCACAGAACCTTCTCGTGCTCAGTCCAAGGACAGACCGGGAAGGGCTTCAGGGCAGACCTGCCTGCGGGCCCGGGCTCCCACCCTTTACTCACCCCTCTGCGTCGGATGGCCTTCCGGATCAGATCCACCACATCTCTGCCTTCCACTCCACTCGACTTGAACCCCTTGGTCCATGAGACCAAGAAACTCTAGAAAAGGACCAAAAAATGCAATTTCCCACAACGGAAGCAGCACTATTCCAACAAGTCCTCAGCAGAGCCCTCTACCTCAGGCCTAAAGTCATGGTTAAATCTACATTGTCTCCCGACTGGCCCAGGGAGCAGGTGGCACGCATGGGTTTATCATGATTCCCTACCCCGAGGAAGGGGGAAGAGCTGTTAAATAGGATACATAGCCTTGTATTTCTGATCCTCCTGTCTCCACCTGCTTGAGAACTGGGGTTTCACTAGGTGCTACTGTGGCCGGTGCTGGGCACGGCACCCAAGGCTCTGTGCGAGCTAGGCAAGCACCCTACCAAATGAGTACATCCCCAGCTTCCGGGGCCAGCTCTCTCACCTATGGGTCTTTCTCGTAGCCCTTTAGATCAAAAGATCTTAATTTCTCACTCCTGCTAACCTGCACAGGACAAGGATACCACAAAGCATGTGGGGTTAGAGGGCGGAACACCTCGACCCCTCCCACTTCATCGCCCACCACCACCCTCCACACCTACATGGAAGCACGGAAGTCTCAGTACTGAAAGCTCATATGCAAACCCCCTCAGCGCCACTGCGCTGCAGCTGCAGATGGTCAGGAGTCCCCTTCCGAGAAAGCATCTCGGCCTGTCATACCTCATCTAGTTTGGTCTGGTGGCAGGGGAACGAGAACGTGAAACCCAGTGGAAGCTTCTTCTCTTTGATCTGTAGCTTGTCCATGAAGTTGGCCAGGCATTCAGCAATGTGGTCAAACAGCTAAGGGCACAAACAGGAAGATGATCGGGGAGGAACAGAGAGGAGAGACAGACCCAGCGTGATGCTTTACACTGACTGCCAATTTGACAGAATCCAGCATGACCTAGAAGACAGCTCTCGTGAGGGAGTGCCTAGATTAGGTTCGTGAAGGTGGGTGAGCTCCCCCAAAGGTGGCTGGCACCTTCCGAAGGCCAGGGCCCAGGACCGATGGCCAAGGAGATCTTGAGCTGAGCACCAGCCCCCACCGAGGGCCCTGACTCCTGGCTGTGGACACAGTATGACCATGGCTCCTGATGCCACGCTCCTGCTACCATGACAGTTTCTTCCATCTGGAGCCAAAAGTAAACCCCTCCTTTCTAATGCTACTCTGTTACAGCAACAGGTCTCTTACACAAAACTGAACTAATGGAACTTAGGTCATCATTCGCTCTCCTGTGAAAAGGAAATCACATCTGGGCTCAGTCACGAGACATGCACTGAGGCAGAGTGCCAATTAGGGCTCTTTGGACGGACTCTTCCACCTGAGCCTTTCACATGAATCTCGGTCAGAAGAACCCCGAAAGTCAGGAAGTCATGGTTATCAGAGCGTCCATATGTGCCCTGAGAACTGAGCATCCTCTACCGGCCGTCATGGAAGCCCAGCTTATCTTCCCAGAATGGAATGCCCACCTCACTGCCAAGAAGTGCTTTGGCACCCCTGACTCTTGGCAGAGGAGGGGCATTGGTGCTCTATGAACCAACTCAACAAAAATAAGCAACCTTTATTATTTTTCCTCTCGAAGAAAAAACTAATGCCCTGGAGGCAATTCAAAGAAATCATTTTGGGGTTTGCTGTTGATCTTATTCACACGTGTGTGTATGTGTGTGTGTGTGTGTGTGTGTGCCTGTGCCCATGGAGAACTGGAGTTACAGGTGTTGTGAGTAGCTTGATGTGGGCCCTGGGATCCAAACTCTTGTCCCCTGATAGATGAGCAACTGTTTTTAAAACTACTGAGTCATCTCCACGGTCCCTATTTTTGATTTCTAGTTTCAGGATGAAAGACGAGGCAGTGATTGCAAGAACTCACACAGCTACCACACCGTGGCAGGGAGGTGTGCTCCTGACGACTCAAGCTTCCAGTCAGGCCGGGGCCCAACAGAGCAGGTCCCTCCTCACCTCCTCAGCACCCGAGAAGAGAAACCGGCGGCTCTCCAGATGGTGAGACTGAGGCCGGAGGCAATGTGATATAAAGTAAGCAGAGGCCAAAGAGGGTGAACAGAGTCTCGGATGAGAGGGCCGAGTGGCAAAATTGAAAAGCCAAGAAAGTAGAACGGAAGCAAGAAGGCCAACGCTGGAGAGAAAGCCGACGGTTCCATGTTGTTCCGCAGCCTTCTCACGCCTCTCTAGGAGACCCAGCAAGCCTTCTCCAGAATCCCGAGGCTGAAGCAGATCCCTTGATGGGGTTAACAGGCCCTCTGGCTCCCTGATGTCTGGGGTGATGAGCAGGTGTGGAGTCAGGGAGGCAGCCAAGGCTGGAGGAGGAGGAGCCGGCCCTCACTGAACTCCCACGTGGATTCTGTCCGTCTGTCTCACCCTGTGCAAGGTTAACCACAGCTGAGGCTGAACTTTGAGCCTCCAGTTCAAGGCAAAAGCACAGACAGGACAGGGCTGCCGCCAGCACAGACAGGCCACCTTCCCTTGAGCTGGCTGGAATTTTCATCTACACATGGGGCTTTTCTAGAGAGCAGCAAGCACCACTCATGCTGAAACATGTACGGATCAAATTACACAAATTCATAGCCTCTACTCCCCATGTCCGTTAGTTTCTCTTTCCTTTCTTCTTTCTTTCTCTCTCTCTTCCTTCCTTCCCTTTTCTTTTTTATTCAGTGCTAAAGACTAAACCCAAGGCTTTTAGCATGCTATCAGATGCTCCACCACTGAGCTGTATCTCTAGCCTTTAGGGTGAATGACTATCTTTACCCAACGAAAAGAACTCACACAAACATCAAACAATCATGGGAACTGGAGGGGCCTTTATCTGGAGAGGGGAGCAAGATGTCTTCCCAGTCCTCAGCCCTGACCGCTGTTCCTTCCCCAGCAGCCTTCCTCACAAAAGCAAGAAAAAAGTCCCTGCACTCAGGGGCTGAGATAGGAGAATAGAGAATTTGGGACCAGCCTGGGCTACCTTTCAAGAGCCTGTTATCAACTTAACCTAAATTCAGCTGGTCAGTCACATTTTAAGTTGTCCACACTTCAGGTGACCCGCGGCTTGGCGCAGGGCAAATCTGTTGTAAAAAAGTTCTGAGTCAGTGTCAAGATCAAAAACCTACCAGCTTTCTAGGAGAAAAAGAGAGGATTGCTCTCGAGGTGGAAGACTAACTCTTCCTGCTATCTGAAGACTGAGGATAAGATGCTGGAGAAGTCAACACCTTCCTGCCATAAAAAGGCTCAAAGGACATAAGCCTCCTAGCTCTGTGCTCCGAACATTTCCTTTCCCAATTGATGTGAAGATCAGCTCACTCTTCTTCCCATAAGAGAGACACTCAGAAACCTCAGGAGGCTGAGGAGGAAGGGGATGTCACGATTGCTCTAAAACAGAAGGCAATGACCAGAAGACCCTTTTCACCCTGGGAAGGTTCACAGTTTTGAGGACCTTTGCAAGTTTTTGAGGTTTGATTATTTAGCTACCGATCTAATAAAATTGCATTAAAAAATCTATTTTGCTGGGAGGTAGTGGTGCACAGCTTTAATCCCAGCACTCAGAAGACAAAGCCCTGCAAGTTTGAGGCCAGCCTGATCTACAGCGTGAGTTGCAGGACAGCCAGAGATACAAAGAGAAATCCTGTCTTAAAAAAAAAAAAAAAAAGAAGAAGAAAAGAAAGAATACATCTGTAGGGCTGGAGAGATGACTCAGTGGTTAAAAGCACTGGCTGCCCTTCCAGAGGACTGAGGTTCAATTCCCAGTAACCACATCATGGCCCACAATTGTCTGCAACAATTCCAGGGGATTTAACCCCTCACACAGACATACATGCAGGCAAAACACCAATGCAAATGAAATAAAATAAAAAATATATATACACACACACACACATATATACACACACACACATATACATATATTTCTTTTCCTTTAATTAAAATTCTTAAACTGGGCCGGTGAAACGACACTTGCCATCAAGCCTGACCACCTGAGTTCGAATCCCAGAATCTACAGAGTGGAAAGAATCGATTCCCACAAATTGTCCTGACCTTTCCATGTATACGCACACAAAATAAATAAATGTGGCCAAAAATAAAAATGATCGTCTTTATAACTTCTAACCTGGCAGTTTGAGAGGATGTTATTATTAGGGGTCATATTGTTTCAATTATTTCCATTCGGGCACAAGGCCACACTATAGAGAGCCCAGGCCAGCTGTGAACTCATTCCTCCAGGCTCAGCTTCTCAAATGCGAGGACAACCATGTGCCCCGGCCCTGCCAATCTGAGAAGTTTCAAGGTAAAAGTTAACTTTTCGGGAACAAGCTGCCAGGACCTTGGGCACCTGGGCCCTTTGCGGGGTTGAGGCGTAAGTAGCTGTCTGTGGAGATGGGCAAATCGCCCGGTGCATTGTTCTGTCATCGAAAGTCTTTTTCACAACCACAGCCAAACCTCTTCTGGGCTTTCTGACTTTGTCTCATTTGGTTCTCAAATATTTGTCATCTGGGAGCAGGCCTCATGATGATGAGAGACAGAAGCAACACAAAGAAAGGCTACCACATTCTTCATGAAGGGAGACAATACCATCGCTGGCCAGAGTCCGAGGACAAAACTCCCACAGAGAAGCAGCAAACACTAGTCAGTGTGCCTGCTGCCTGTTCCACTAACCACACTATCAGCCCACGGCCTAACTCTTACCCATCATGCCTCTCTACAGACCGGGCCACTGCTAGGTGTTAACATTTGCCCGGAATCACACATCAAGATTGCCCCAAAACAGGACCTAAGCTTTCAGGCAAACACCCTGTCACTGTGTGGGCACAGTGCTCTTCCTGACACAAACACAACAGCCATGAGACACCTTCAGCAGAAGGAAAATGTCCACAGTCCCAAACATTCAGCCTTCAGGCTGACCCTCAAAGCCCAAAGACAAGCGAAGGGTCTGAAAATATCTTCCCAGCTTGCTTAGCTCACAAATGGAACGCCTTTCCCAGGAGCGACCTGGTTGGTGGGAATAGCCTGACTGGGCTGGTAAGGCCCCAACCTCTCCCAACCACCCAGCGGAGATGCTGTGCTCTCTGGACACTCAGGGCTCCCACAACGGGAAAGCCACAGCTGGAATAATGTCCAGGATGCCCTGCCGTGGTGGGTGAAGACGCAGGGTGTCCCACAGGCTCAGCAGCCGCCCCAAGAGGAAGACTGTACCTGGGTTCCGCTGCCCCGCATGATGTCCTCAGGGATGGCGTAGATCTGGTTCTCCATCTCCACCCTCTGGAGGCCATTGTCTGTCACCCTTACTCGGAGCACACGGAAGTTGGTTCCTCCAAGGTCCAGAGCCAGGAACTCTCCATGCTCTGTAGACAAAGAGTGGCCACTGTCAGTGTGGGAAAGACAAGATCAAACCACCTCATGAAAACAGGGTAAGGCCTCAAGCCCCGAGTCCCTCATGGGGGAGCAGGGTCGATTGGGTCACTCTTTCTGGACACATCTGGCGCTCTCTCTCTCGCTCTCGCTCTCTCTCTCTCTCTCTCAGCGGAACACAGGTTGCCTCCAGAGTCCTAGAATTACAGGCCCGTCCCATCACACCCAGCCTTAGGTTTGGCTTCCTTAATGATGAGATATTTTTATTACTTTGTAATTCACATCAACAATGAGACGGCTTCACATTTCATCTGTCCTACTTGCCTTGTCAATGATTATCTGGGAAGAACCTCCCTTGAGAAAACACCGCCCATCAGATCGCCCTGTAGGCTCTATCTTTATCCTACCAGGAAACGAGCGCTAGGATAGGAAGCACCTAGCTGCTGGCCATAGCACAGCCGGCTACAGGGTGGCACAGAATAAAAGAAAGGGCTGCCAGGCCTGGGGTGCGTTGGAGGGCCAGGAAAGCAAGCGCTCACCCCGGGGGCAGCCTCTCCCAGCCTGCCTCCTCCTCTGAAAGGACAGACTTCTTTCCGGGTGGAGGGAGACTCACTCACTGGTGTGCCGCTCCACACGAAGACTCTTGTCTGACTGGCAGGGCCAAAGACATGCCTGACTACATAAACTAAAAGACTTAATCTGTGCCCAGGTCCTGGATCCCCTTAGCATCTTGTCCCTAACCCACCAGGACACCTCTTACCATCTCCCTGAATGTAGTGCCCACAATCTCTAAGATGCAAAGCAGACACGTGGGGAAGGTATCAGCTGGCTAGGTTCCTCAGGACTCACCCCCATACCCTCCGTCAGGGGCAGTGCTAGCCTAACGCTCACCTGAAACGCACATTATGTACGTGAGAATCCTTGCCTAGCTACTTTTTAGCTACAGACTCTTTGTACCCCAGACACACAGAATTTGGTTTGACCTCTGTTCTCTTAAGTAGGGGTATCATACTTCCAGAACTGTCATGAGAGAATTGAGTAATGTTCTTGAATCACCCAGAATTATAGCAAGAATGTAAAAGAGAGCGGGCTCAGGACAAACACGGTCTCACACCTATTCAGACGATAGCAATTTTCCACTCCCTATGCGGCTCCTGAAGGCGTCACCACCACTCATGCCAGAAGCCAGTTCACGCAAGGCTTACGAAAGCCTTGCCTGGGGGAGACTGCCCACCCCCTCCTCGTGGCCTCAGATGACTTTTCTGGACACTGGAGTACTGAAGCTCCACCGGCCATGGGGCCTCAGCCAGATTCTAGGAAACGCTATGTGGTGGTTGTCAGGGGGATGAAAGAAAAATCAAGGCTGAGCTGCCTCATCAGCACTTTGAGGCCCAGGACACACGATGCGCTGAATCAGTGACCGTGGGGGACAGAGGTGGCCGGCACTGCCTCTGGTTGGTTATCATCCAAGACCAGCCCAGCTGGATTCAGCCCAGCGCGGCTCCATCAGGAATGTGATTCGGCCGTATTTTCTGGCGGACTAAAGGGGACTGTAAGTAATAAGAGTGCTGCTGGGAACCGAGGGTCGCTCACCATTCCTTCAGAACACACCTCCCTCCTCAGCGACTCCTCAGCACCCGTTCATGACCCCAAGGACGGGACCCTCTCTGAGTTCACAGCACCACGCAGTGACTCCTGAAATCCTAGGGTGACCCCACAAGGCAATGATGGGACGCTTCTTCAGCCCCAGTCTCTACATCGCTCATACCCATCTCCCACAGATCAGAAGTGACAGACTTTCCATGTGGTGGCCAGGACTCATGAATTCTGGCTCAGCAGCGGCCTGGGCACATCAAGAGGCTCTCTGCACACGTAGCCGCCTCACCACCTCTAGTGCTGCTTGCCACAGTCCTCATGGGTTTTTGAAGAAATGGGAACACAGGTTACGTATGAATGTATGAACACACAGATGGCTGTCAGTAAATGCCACTGTCCTTGTCATCCTTCATTATCACTCCTTGGTCTGAAAGGTCTCCTCCCAGCTCTTGTTGGCCACTCTGAATCAATATACTACTAGTTATAGCTCAAGCCCTACCTCCACCGGGATCCTTCCAAGACATTCCTAATCCCAGAACAGAGCTCACGGGAGCGTGTGAAGAAGCAGCTGTGGGCAGGAGAAAGCTTCTGAGGAACGTGCCCTGAGCAGCTTCTCAGCACAGCGTGGAGATCCGCTCCCGTATCCCACTTAGGAGACTGAGACAGGAGTTAGCCTCAGCTACATAGTGAGCTTCAGTCCAACGCGGGAGAAGGAGGTTTCTTTTTGTTTGGTTTGGGTTTTTGAGACAGAGTTTCTCTGTGTAGCCTTGGCTGCCCTGGACTCACTTTGTAGACCAGGCTGGCCTTGAACTCACAGATATCTGCCTGCCTCTGCCTCCCCCGGTGCTGGGATTTCAGGTATGTGCTGGCTGAGAAGGAGGGTCTGGAGAGATGACTCAGAGGTTTAAGAGCACTGACTGGTCTTCCAGAGGTCCTAAGTTCAATTCTCAGCAACCACATGGTGGCTCCCAACCATCTATAATGAGATCTAGTGTCCTCTTCTGGAGTGCAGGCGTACATGCAGACAGAACATCGTATACATGATAAATAAATCTGTAATAAATAATTTTTAAAAAAGAAAGAAATCACAACCAGAGTTGAAGAGAAGGCTTGGGGGTTAATGGAGCACTGCTCTTCCAGAGAAGCTGAGGCAGCCCCCTGCCGCTCCAGCTGTAAGGGACCAGACACCTTCCAGCATCCGCAGGCTCTGTGTCCCACAGTGCACATGCGCACGGTGGGCGTACATGCAAATGAATGAGGACAGACTTCAAGCTGGGCTTAATGGGGAGGCAGAGGCAGGCAGAGACAGCCTGGTTCAAGTAGTGAATTCTGGGACAGTCGGGAGTCAGGGACCCTACCTCAAAATAAAATAAATAAAATAAAAAGCTCTACAGAGAATCCGCCCCTAAGTAACTACAGGTGGCATTTGAGGCAGCTTATTCCACTACCTCATATTGAATCTGTTCACCAATGCTTCACTCATTACATAGGGTGTCTGACTGGCAACTATAAGGGTTTTCTGAGAAGGTCATGCCTGTTGATTTCTTTCATACTGTTAAGCATGTTGTTATCACTGGATCAAAACTTTCACTTTATAAAAATTAAAATGAGAACTGATGAGTGGGCTCACTGCCACCAAGTCTGACAGCCTGAGTTTGATTCCTGGAACCCAGAGGATGGAAGAAGAGAACATACTCCTGCAAGTTTGCCTCTGACCTGGAAAGCTGTGAACCCTCAAAAGGGAACCCTTCACTTACATGCCAAGAGTGTAAAACCTGGAGGCAACAGCACCCTTCCCACAGCCCCTCCCCCAAGCCCTCCATGCAGGAAGTGATGCCTCTAAAGCTGAATCATTTGGCTCAGGTCACAAAGGGGTGAAAGAGGGCTAGGGTTTGATGCAAGGCTTCTGACTCTAAGCCTGTGTCCGGCCTTCTGGGCCACACCTTCCTCTTCATGCTCTCATTCCTGGAAACCAGAGTAGTGAGAAAGAAAGCAAAGACACCCTCATCTCTACCAGGAAACCCGGCTCATCTCTTGAGAAGCTAGAGCTTCCATACTGAATGGAGGGATGGAGGCGAGTGAGAGGGTGAAGAGTGGCAGGTCCTTTGTTGATGCCTGTGCACAAAAGAAGCCCGTCCTCTCCTGTCACCATACAAACCTCTGTACCCACCTCCCCGACTCCACAGGCCTCTCTGAAGACGATGCTCGTCATTTAAAAACACCCAGACACAAGCAATAATGAACAAAAAAATAAATCTGAAAATACTTCTGTCCACAGCTTAAATACTAGTGACAGAAGGACAGGGTTGTGGCGCCCTTACCAACAGGGAAGGGTGAAGCTGCTCCCTCCAGCCACTCTTGCTGACTCACTTCCCATCACACACACACACACACACACACACACACACACACACACACACACACGTAATACAAAATTAAAAATGTGAGAGTATTGGCACATGCCTTTGATCAGGGCAAAGATTCAGAGCCAGGGCTGGCTAGCCAAAAGGGTTTTGCCATGGTGAGCAACAAGTGAGCACTGGGAAGCTGTCAACCCTCAAGTAGGGAATCCCTCACTTCCAACGCCAAGAGTGTGTGTAAAACCACACAACCAGAAGGCCACTTTCAGTTTGACTCTTATCAGATACATAAGGTCGGGGAGATAAAGGGTTCAGATATCCCCTGGGAACTCAACCTGTCACAGACAGAGACTGGGCACTGAAAGGGCAGTTGGCTGCCATTTCTCACCTGGGTGAGAAACATGACGTCAGTAACTGATTCATCACTACTCCAGGCTTGTTTAAAAACTTCTGAGGTGACCTGGTACCTCATGGCATCTAAGTTCTTGGTTTTCTTTTTTTTTTTTTCAGTTTTGTGTGTGTGTGTGTATGTGTGTGTGTGCGCATGCTTTGTTTTGTTTTTAAGGTTAAGGGCCAAGGGTAAGGTGAATGTTCCAGCAGGGTCTATTTTGAACCATTAGGTCCTTGCCACTAATTAAAATAGATCGCCACCTGCTCCTCCCGTCAGGCGGTCAGCTCGGTAGGCCAGCCAGCCCTGCTAAGAGTGCCTTGCAATAAAAAGGTGACAGCCTTGTATTTCGAAGCTGCCTTGCCCATTCCTCTGAGGCAAGCATGCTGAGAAACGGCAGTGTCCTGTCCTAAGCCCCAGCAGCAGGTAATTAAAAGGCTACTCAGAAATGATGGGTTCTGGGAACCCCTTCTAGACAAGGGGCATCCTACACAACTCCCGTGGGGCTAGGCAAGCTTGAAGGCGACAAAGGTCTGTGTGCAGCAAGGGTTAGGGGAAGGCTAACACAGCTCACCTCCTAAGCAGCCCTTGCCTCCAGGTTTTTCTTTTTTATTATTATTATTTTTATTATTTACAATTTATTCACTTT